GTGCAGTCCCGGACCTGACACTCTGTGGGAAGGCCTGACCCTGAAAAAATGGCATCCTCTCGTACACTACTGGTGTGCAAGCTCCACACCAGGAGAACAATGGTCTCAAAACCTCCAGCTCTTGCCCCAGAGGCACTTAGTTCAGTCCCCTGCAGTATCCTGGGCTCCTCTCACATAGCCACTCCCTCCACCAGGGACCGGGTGAGTGCTCACCAGTGAGTGAATCTGTGTGCTGGCTCCACTGGTTCTCTAGCTGCCTTCAGCCTCACCGAGTTGAGCAAAGAGAGTCCTCACTAATTTCTACTACCAGCTATCGTAGAACTCCTCTTCCTGGCAAAGTAGCTCTGGGCTGGTGAGCTCGGCGTGGGGCTAGGGGGGGTCTCTCCCTCAACCGGAGAAGCCTCCCCACCACTAAGGTGTCCCTCACGGGGTTCGCCCTCTCTTGTTTCCGCCCCTCCTACCAGACTCAACGTGGCCTCCTCTTTAAGTCCTTCATTTAGTGGTTCTGTTCATCTAGTGTTCAGGGGACTTCTGAGGTTGAATATTGTATACATTATTTGTAATTTTGGTGTTGGCACAGCGGCTGTCTATTGTGCCATCTTACCGGAAGTCTGCTTTTTTTTTCTTAACCTTCTTGGATTCATCTACCCTTGTAGATATATTTATCATACTTTTTTGAAAACCTACAGTTTGTCAAAGTGCCTTTCTAGTAATTCAGGTCATCCTCACTTGATATCATTACTGTGGTTTTGGTATAGTGATATAGAGAAGTATTGCTTTATAGAAATGCATTGATAGAACCTGCCTGTTCACCAAAGCAGGGCTGACAGGAGGTGGAAAAAAGGAGCTGTACCTCACACTTTCTGATCTGAAAGGGCCTCGTTGGAGTGTTTTGTGGTTTCTATTAAATCTCGCAAGTGATGTGGAGTGGATAACAACAGAAGGCATGAGATGTTAAGGGATCCCAGTTTGACTGGCTCTGTGCGGACAAATGCAGCCAGCCCTGTTTGTGTATAAGAGGACTGGGTTTTCCCCAAGCTGTTAGTAATGATGCAAGAACAGACTTTCCCCTCTCTGGCTCCCTGGAGTCAAATGGCTGCCAAGGTATTTTGAAACAGAAACTGAAAAATGTATCAACCACTGGAACACAGTAACAAGGGTCCTTTGATATTTTCTGCATTCCCTATGAGGAGGCTGGCATCCAATTTTTTTTAGGTGAGGATTCTGAGATATCATTGGTTGATGCAATCTTGTGACTTGGATACTTCTTTTCAGGATACACTGTGAGGGGACATCCCTATTTGGGTCGGGAGTCCTTAAGGAACAGCAGTTTATAGATGAGTTCTAGTGGAGTTCATCAGGGAGAAGAAAGAAACCAAACACAATGGGAAGTGCTTAGCGATTGAAACCAGCCCTTGCTTGTGTGGTCCTGTGTTTCAACACATCACTCTATGAAAATGCACTGCTGGGAAGAAGACTGGATTTCTGATAGTTTATGAAGCCAAAAACCTGTTGAAGTCTCTTTATACAGTAGTAAAGAAAATGGCAAAATGCTTGAAACTTCAGGACAGTTACTTAATAGCTTTGATTACTACAGGCCACCAGGTTGTTAGTTCATGGGATCATGACTACATTATGAAGAAAATAGGAGGGTGGGCTGAGTCAGACTCTAAAACAATTCAAAAACACACTATGAATTTCCAGAAGTCTAGTTCTTTTATTTTAAAAAAGTTAATATTTTTCATTGAGAATTAACCTATTCTCTCTCATTAAAAATTTCACACAATTTCAATAAGCAGAAAAATAAACAGTATAACCTCTGCTCCCACCACTTAGTGTGAACCCCCATTCATACCGTGATGCATTCTTTCTGTTGCTTTGTCTTCTGTGCTTTAAACAAAAACATAATTATGGCCATATGGTAGATATCATTTTGACTCCTTTTCAGACTTGAACTTGTAAGTCTGAAAAGTCATGTTGTTTCACAGTTGTCATGTACATTTTGTCATGTAAGTTTTAATGGCTGCTTTTGTAGGGTTGTGCCAAAAATTACGTTTACTTTTCATTCTCATATTGCTAGGTTGTGTGTTTTTTTGGGGGGGATTATAACTAATGAGGACATGTGTCTTGAGTATTATGGAGTAATTCTCCAGTACTGGATCTCAGGAAGGTTATTTACTTTTAGGTGACAGGCAGAGTCTAGTAGATTTATGAGTGAATTCCTGTGTGTTTTAAAAGAGTAGTGTTGTCTAGGCCAGTATCTGAAACTGTGCTGTCAACCTACAGTGGGCATGTTAGTCACCTAAGTCACTTTCTGCTCTCGCCTCCCCTGCAACCAACCCTGTCTGGCCTGAATGAAGAAAATGGGATCCTAGAGATGAAAGAAACAAGAACTTTGTATATTGTGCTCAGAAGCACATAGGCACTGAGCTCTTGTGAGCACAAGCACTGTGCTCTTGTGAGCACAGGATGCAAGTCGATTTAAGAGAACCCCTGGGACATGCCCATGCTCAGTGAGATGAAATAGCTCCTTAAGGTGCTCTTATGATTGAGCTCCTGCGGGCAGTAGTGATGGGGCGGTGGTGGCGGATGGGGAGGGGGGAAACGGTGTGTGGGCAAGCTTGTTTACTAGCTGGGCAGTCTCTTAACTCCCCTGAGAGTCAATTTCTCCATCTGGCATCCAACTTCTTATAGGGTTGTTGTGACAATTAGAGAAAATGTTTGTAGAAGAATTAACATAGCCCCAAATCCATAGTGGATACTCAATAAAAGTTAGATTATTATCGTCATTATGATTGCTGTGTGTGTCCTACTTATCTTTTCCCAAGGGCTTCACTCTGTCTCCTCCTAGTCTTCAAATACCCCCAGTCAGAAGCTGGGGGTACTGCTTCAGCCACAATGTATCTTTTCTGGAATAAAGATGTTTCACCCCATTATAAAGAATAGTGACACTCTTGATGATCTGACTACTAAACTCACCCACCCCCAGAAAATGTCATCTCTCTAAACTGGACTCCTTTACTTCTACCTGAGCTTACCTGAGTTTCTACCTTCTTTCCTTCTCCCTGAGCTTAAACTTTGGGTATTGGTTAAGGCAAGAATTGCTCAGAGCTTTGTTCAGGGAGGAACATGTAACTATGTATACCATATATCTATGGTAAGTTGGGCACTATACAAAACATAAAGAGGGTTATGCTTATTAACTTTAAGTGAGTTGGTAGTTGGTAAGTCAGCAGCAGAAGGGGATAAGCCAACTGAACACAGGTTAGATATTCTCATTTGGTTGAGCTGCAGCATCTGGGCAGGCCTCAGGGGTGAGCCCTGGGAAGAAATTTGGAAGGACATGCTATGTCAGAGGATGTTTCCTGACTGGTAATAATTAGAGGTCCAGGATGGAGAAAGGCAATGGAATGAAGAAGGCCTAACAGTGAGATTTGCTTACTGACACGGAGGCCGGGAGTCTAAGGAGGATGTGAAACAGAAATTACATGATTAGATGTGTGCCACGACAACAAGGACAATAGTGATCATTCTAATACCTTGCGATATGCCAGTGCCTATACCAAGACCTTTACATGTGTAATCCCCATAGAAACCTCATTTACTAGGTATTAGCATCACCCTTATTTTCCTGATGAGAAAATTGAGTCTTAGAGAGATGAAATAACTTGCTGAAGGTTATTAACCTGGTAAATAGCAAAGCAGAGATTTGAATTTAGGTCTGTTTTTCCCTAAAGTTTAGGTTCAGATAAATAAATCTGGCAGCACTGGAAGAATACATTAAATGGGGCAGGGGCCAGAGGGACTAGATGTAGAATGACCACTTATGGAGTGATTTTAGTATTCAAGAGAGACATGAGGGTCTGAAGTAGGGGAGCTGCAGTAGGAATGGAGGGAAGGTACAGATATGAGATCTGGTAAGAAGGTACACCACAACAGTGGCTCCCAAATCTCGATGGAAGTTATTTTTGGATGCAGATTCCTACGGCATCCTTCGGGCCTCCTGAATCGGAATCCCTGGGGTAGGGCTTGGTATTTTTACAAAGCATCCAGTTGTGAAGCTCTGCCAGGTTCAAGAACCAGAGCTCTATCATCCTTGATTTAAATGCTTGGGGTGGAACATGACAGAAGGAGGATTTTAGGATGACATCCAGGTTTGAGAATTCTGTGACTGAGTGAAATCATAGGTACTGTCCACTAAGGTAGAAAATAACAATAGTTTTGAAGGGTAAGGTTCTAAGTTCAGTTTTGGACATGTTGAAATGGATCAGTCCTGTGGGGAGCTGGATATCAAAGGCTAAAGCTTGGAGTAGAGGTCAAGTCTACAGATTTAGATATGGAGGTCATCAATGTTTGGAAGATGGTAGCTCTATATTTTATGCGGAATTGTTCAAATACCCAAACATTCTATTTTCTTTCAATAATCAAATAATCACGCCACATAAATACAATGTACTTCAGTACATTCCCTTTCTGACCCTTGATTGTGTCTATTTCTTTTAAAATTTAAGTTACCGTTTCTTTATACTACCAAAAAGTCATGCATTGTTACAAATACTTATTTGCACCATCTCATTGGGTTCAAACCAACAATTTGTTAAAGTAAAATTTATTTTCCCAATATTTTAGATTAAGCGATTTAGAGGGGTTGTGGAACTTGCCCAAGCTAATGCAGAATCAAATTGTTGAGCCAAGGTTTGAATTTGAGGCTGTTTCTAACCCCAGCCTCAGATCTTTTGGACTGTTTCACAATAGAGCTGTTCCTTGGTCAAGCAGGCAATCTTCATATTACCTTTGTAAAAGAAGCAATACAATCTATCACCAATAAACATTTCAGGCTAATTCAAAAGGATGTATAAATACAGAAAAATTCATTTAGAAAAATTAGTTCCATGTCTTTTGAGAAATGGAGTGCTTAGTAATTATATTTAGTAAAACAAGTTTATGTACATCCCCTCCCCCCCAACAAGCTATCAGTAAGATTAGACTGATCAAATTACCTTTTGAGCTTTGTCCAGTGACATGTGGAGTAGTCTCCATTTTCTTTGCTCTCAGAGAAAGGAAATGAGGAGGCGTGTGACGTTGGTTTTCTGTCTCTGGTAATTCTGTTGCATGGTTTGGCCTCTTGAGGTTTTTCAGCTTGCTTTATGGAGTATATCCAACTTTGGGTTGAAACTGAAGTGGGTTCTTGGTAAGCTCAGGCTGAAAATATGTCTCAGCACTAACACTATTTTTCTTTTGGCTTGGATAAATACAGACATCTGTCATATCTTCTGGTAGCACTGGGTGAAAAATATGCATACCATTATAAAGATTGGCAGGTTAAAATTGATACACTTAAATAAACTGCATTATTTTCCATAAGATGAGTCATATAGCTGAAACTGTATGGTATCATTTGGAACAACAACTGTAATACTGATATTTAATCTCCATAAGTGACATATCTAAGATAACAGTGACACCCAGATGACAACTCAGGCAACAATAGCCCAGCTCGTTGGTATAAGAACAGAAAAAGTGCTACCTGAACAATCATTTCTCCAGAGGTATCTTAAATATGGTAACACTGTCATAGCTTTAATAATCCCTAATAAACTCTGGTTACTAAGATTCATGATAAAAAATAACATCCACCTATGTGTAAAACATGGATATATTTGGGCTATGATCAAGGAGAAAAAGCCTGTCAGTTAATTAAGAGTTAGGTAGATAGAGTTTGCCCTCAGATCCATATAGGTGTAAGGTAAGTGAAATCTCACCTAGCTGTGAAAAGGCAACCTTACCATAAAGTATGTTTCCCCAACCCCACCCTGCCAAGTGCATTCCTTATTCCCCAGGTGTGTCTGTTAAACCCACACCTACTCCCTGTTCTGGTCCCACAACAAGGAACATTTAAAAAGCCCCTCCCAAGGGCTGGCCAAGTGGCTCAGTTGGTTAAGAGCTCACTCAAGAGTGTGAGCTCTGAGCAACAGGGTCACCAGTTTGAGTCACGGCCCGAGCTGAGCTGCTGCTGAGCTGCTAACAGGTGGCGGGATGGCTCGGCAACAAACAAACGAATAAAAAGCCCCTTCCTTTAGATCTCACAGTATCTTGGAGTCAGTATTGATTCTTGACCTCCCTGGCCCCCCAACCCCTCTCTCCCCACCCCCATATCTCAGTCTCTTTTCTATGCCATTCTTTGGTTCTTAGTATGTATTTGTTGCCTAGATTTGGCTTTGACTTGTTTTTCTAATCTTCCACATCTCAGCCTGTTCCTTTAATCCCATTTCATAATCTCTTGATTTTGTCCTTTGGTATTTGGCTACACAGGCCCTCAGAAGGCAAGATAGTTCAATGGAAAGAACACGGAATTTGGGGTCAGAAAGACCTGAGTTCAAATCTTTGTTCCACTATTTACTAGCATTGTAAATTCTATCAAACCACACCCTTTCTTTGGCCTTCACCTGTACATCTTTAGAATCAGAATGAAAATGGCTGTATTGTAGAGTTACTGTTGAGATGAAAATCAAAACAAATACAAAGAACTTGGCACCCTTTAGGCGCTCAATCAATATTTCAATATTTGTTGAATGGCCTTTCCTGTCGCCTATTTCTCAGTCCAAATCCTGACTCAGTCAGTCATTTATTTGGTTCTATTTGTCTGGAGTGGTGAATAAAGCCAAGAATTATGCTTAGAAAGCATTTACAGCACGAGTAAGTTGAGAAAAGTGAGTTGAAGGTTTATATTCCATTATTTACTGGTACTAAAATTACCTGTCAGGGTCAGATTAAAACATTTACAAGCCCTATGCATGGGTGAGATAAAGATGCCCTGTGACATATTTCACCTGTAACTTAAAAAAAATGTTTAACTAAGTCCAATAATGTTATTTTCCCCTCATGATGACTACTCTACAGCTTTAAAGAAAATATCGAATTCTTAAAACAACCACCACAACCACTTTTTTTTATTGTCCCTGTGTATCTTTTTCCTGCTCACAAAATCTGAAAGGGGTAGGATAGGGGAGAATGCTTATCAGCTAGTCAGTGTTTTTTAAACTCCTGAGATAATTTTTTTGAAAGTTTACACTCTTTGGACCCTTAAATAACTTTTAGTTTTCTAGCTACAACCTTCTGTGTGTATTTTGTCAATTTGGCCCAGGTCTCTATTACTTATTTGTGACACTGAAATAAAAATTTTCTCCGACATTAATCCTTAGCCTTTCTGCAACCTCCAGACCTGTTAAAATCTTGTTAATGAAAGCTAATGGTTTTAGCTTTCATTAGTGTGGTTGCCTGTCAAACAGTCATTCCTTTCATAATTCTTTGCTAAGAGAACACTAATGTCGTTCAATTATTTAAGTCCATGATCTTCATTGGTCCCTTCCTAGCCCCAGTGGGTGAATGGGGATTAAGCTAAGGCCATCCTGGTAATTCTCTTTTTCTTGGCAATGTCTGATTTACTGTAGGCATGAGGTACAAAGTTGCTTATGAAATGTGAAGGCAAATATGGGAAATGGTTGGGTAAGTTTCCTTTGCTTTTGAAGGGGATGGAAGACAGTGGTTCATACTTCCCTGAATCTGGTCATCGTTGGGTGAGGAGTTGGTGCCATGGAAGCTATCCAGGGTCATAGGGGAATAAATATGAGGACAAAACTGATCGGCTAAGATGGCAGAGGAAAATATGGCCAGAACCTGGGCTCTTGGTGATGTCATTGAGTTACTGCCTGAATCTACCCTGGAAACATCAAGAGATAGTCCTTATCGTTTAAGATACTTTCAGTTGTGTTTTCCATTACAAGCACCTGAACGCATCCTAACTTACTAATCAGTGCTAAAGCCATTCCTTACAATTTGTACTCATTTTTCAGAAATGTTTAGTAGAAATTTCTATCGCTGGTTATAATATTTGTCCTAAATAAATAAAATTTTCCAAAAGACTGTCAATATTTAAAAAAATAAAAGCATGACTTAATTGGCAATTGTTTATTTCAGTGTTCCTCAAATTTACATATATATATGTATATATAAATATATAAAAACTATATAAAATATTATATTATTATATATTATTAATATATCATATTATTATATATTATATATTATAATATGATATAATATATTATATATAATCATATATAATAAAAATATATATATTAAATATTTTATTGGGGAATTGGGGAAGGGGAACAGCCAAGTTGTCCTTCAGTCTTAGCTGTGGAGGACGCAGCTAGCTCATCTCCAAGTCCAGTCACCATCTGGCTGCCCGTCGGCAGCTTGCAGCCACTCAGCTCAAGGTGCCGTGTTCAATTTTAGTTGCCAGGGAAGTGGGGGTGTAGGGGCCGGGGTGGGGGGGAGGTGCAGCCCACCATCCCATGCGGGGTCAAACCAGCAACCATGTTGTTAGGAGCACATGCTCTCACCAGCTGAGCCATCCTGCCACCTTTTGGTGGCTCAGCAGCAGCTCAGCTAGGGTGCAGCTCGCTGGCCCATGTGGGAATTGAACCAGCGACGCTGTTGCTCAGAGCTCACGCTCTTAACCAACTGAGTCACTCAGCTGGCCCCTCAAACTTCTATATTTTATATACCACTTTTATGATTTTTTCATATTCTTGTATCTGCACTAATAAAAATATTTTTCTTTAAGTTGTCTCTCCTTTTTAAAATTAAATACATTTATTTTAAAACAAATTTTCTCATTAACTATAAATAAAAAACAAGTATCATTTGCCTTAAATAGAAGATAATCATAAAAAGAGATACCATGAAATTCTTGCCATATCAAGTTGCCTGTGAAGACTGAGCTTGAGGCTTGCTCTCTGTTGAAAGAAGAGACTAGAAAGTGTTGTAGATGTGGTAAAATAATCCCAACACCACCTATTTCCTTGCTGTGTTAAGGAGAACTAAAAGAGAATGTCAAGGGGGATATCTGTTACTATCTGAATTTATCTAAATGTCCCATTTAAAATCATCTGGTGGTGTTCCACCAGTGCTCTGATTGAACTGACTGAGTCAGAGAATCTTCTCGAGGGCCCGGCCTCCTGAGCAGAACCTACTGGAGTGAGGCTCAAGGTATGTCTGAGGGGAGGAGAAAGGCTTAAGAATCAGCCTTTGATTGATGTGATTATGAAAAGTCATAGAAGCCAATCTTGCAATGTTTTATTATATTTGACACTAAAGCAAAGACAAGTAGTCATTTATTGTTCTCTCTCTGTCAGTGGTTTTTATCTTTTTGGAATCTATGCCCTTTTGAAAATTTCTGAAAATCTATGATTCTTCCATTCAGGAAAATGTACGTTTGCACGTGCGTGTGTGCACACACACACACACACACACACACACAGAGAATTTTCACACATGACCAGAAGGTTCATGGACGCTTGGCTGGAACCAGCATTCCATATATTTTACACGTGTCCTCATACAACTCACCGTGTGACTCAGTTCAGTGCAAACTGCGGTTGAATGCAAAACATGGTTTTTTGAATATGTCTATCAATGAGTAAATGTAGTGTGTTAATTTAAATGCACTAAACTGGAGAATTAGTGTCCTCTCAACATCTACTTCGAATAGTCCTAAATTACACTGATATTGCCTTCCAGGAGTTCTCAAGAGATGAGGTCAAGCTCTATAAAAAGAAAATCAGCCAACCCTATAAAGCTATCCTTGTGAACTTTGAAACACCGCTGAATGTACCTAGTAAAATTGTTCCTGGGCAAGTGACTCCCAGGCCTGGGTGAAGTTCACAAGGGTTCTTTGGATAAAATTAACAAAATGGCTACGAATTTGGATTGCCTTTGTTTGAATTTGAGAGACTGGATGGATCAGCAGCAGTGACATGCCACACACCTGCTTGTCAAGCCAAAGAAAAACCCAATAGGCACCTGTTTCTTACATTGTCAACTGAGCAAAGATATCACATGATTCTAATTTACGACAGTCCATTAATCCTTAAAAACACCCCCACACTTTTTTCCAGCCAAATAACTCTTCCTTTAAAAGGCATAGAATGAGTGGCAAGAGGAAGTAAACCATTTTAATCTCTTATTTCAAAAGATATTTGAAAAAATTTAACTGTAGGACTAATACATTAAATATGTAATAAGACCCAGAATAATTTTCAGGACAAATTTTAATGAGCTATGAAATTAAGAAAAGCATAAACAACTGAAGTTCTTAAATTTTTTCCTTAAATTTGGCCTTGAGGCAATGGTTAATTTTAAATGTTTGTAAATGGTTAAATTAAAATATGTTACTTCTGAACATTGCAAAGAATGTTTGGATTAAAAGTACTTGATC